AAGCAATTTAACATGATCAAATGGGAAAAATGGCAGTAATTAATTACAAAATAATATGGTATACGATGCAATTCGGGCCCTGCCCAAACCGATCTGCTTTTCGGGTGGTCCAATTTGGAACTGAAACGCTTGTATTGTTGCAAAACCTCATTTAGTCATCCAGTACGTATTAGATTGCCGTCTGGTCTTTGGCTCCTATTGATTTTTTTTTTGAAAGTACCTACCCGATGAGTTCATTTAGTAGTCGCTGGAAAAACAATCCACGCCTAGTTTAAGAAAATGTCAAAAATCAGTCGATTGCTGCGGGAATATTAATTCAATAGGATACAAATCTATTTGATTATTTATTATAAGCTCTGGTTTCGACTTTGACAAGGTAATGAGATATTTCGCAATCAAACAATCGTGTGAAAAATATGAGATACCGTTCCTGACCTGTTTCTTGTTCTCTCCGTTGGAACACGCGTTTATTGCAAACATCGAGATTGATCAAAACGATCATGTTTAATAGGTACGAGTATATGCGAATAAGACACGCATTAGGCCTGGGTATAGGCCAAGCTATATAGCATTTTTGCGTGACAAAAATACCAGCAGCAAACCAATTGGGCGATGATATAAAGGATAATGAGCAGAAGAATAATGAACAGTTGCAAAAACGCAATTTTTGTCTTTTTTTGTTTATAGCTTTGAAACTAATGGAGCAATCGGAATGCCCCGACGAGATGATTTGTAGACAATAGAAATATCTACAAAATGAGAGGTCAAACGCCTCAATTTCTTGCAAGACCAAGTCCAGTCTCGCTCATCACTAGTTGGGAAAGGGAATTTCAAAAGTGTGAAGTGTTTTAGTGAAACTTTTGGACAATCCAATATTGTTTCTAAGTGAAACTGCTGAATATCAAGCGTCCTTTAAATTAAAGAAAAAAAAAGGAAAAAAAAAAGGAAAATCCCACTAAGAATTTAGGTAGCTAGAGGAAGGCGGTAGGACTTTACTGTTTAGCAAAACGTTCTAATAGTAGGTTGTTTTCTCATAAGTTCCCCCCCTAGATCGTCTATTAAACAAAAATTCGAAAAGCGACGAATCTATTTAATTTTATTCACATTTTTTAAATGTGAATTTAAAATAAAAATATGAAACACGAAAATGTCAAAATTTGACATAACGTTTTTTTTTTTAACGAAACACCCTATATATTTTTAGACAGGTCGATGGGATTTTTTTGCCCGATTCTATAAATATATATATTGCCTAGATTTGTATTAGCGGTTTTTTCTGTATTATGTTTTAAATTTTTTAAATAGCAACACATTAAAGGTAGCCTGAAAAGAAACAAAAAATGTTTTGAAAGAGAACATAACGGAATTTATTGTTACTATAAATTTCAAAACAAATAAATAAAAACATATTCATTAAAATCACTAATTTTGTATATGACCTCCGTTTAACGCTAGACATGCTCTATAATCTACTTTAATTTTACCTATAACGTTTAGAATATATTTGTTATGATTAATATTAATGTGGTAAATTGCACCCACTATTTTAAGGCGTCTAACTAGAGTCTCATACGCAATATTCTTTAAATAACCCCAGAGAAAAGAACCAAGAGGCGTTAGATCGGGGTTATTTGGAGGCCATTGGATAGGACCCACCCGTCCAATCCAGATATCAACATTTTAAATTAAAAAAAGTGCTACCGGGCGAACATTATGAGGTGGAGGGAGGGCCTTGCCGAATTTCATGGCTACTTTGATTTGTTGCTATTGACAATTTTGAAAATAGATTATACGAAATGGGACTAATACAAATATAGGAAAAACATATATTTTCGAAATCGGTAAAAAAAATCCTATTGGTATGTCTGAAAATATACAGGGTTATTCACGCTATACGGCACGGAAGTTTGCGGCTAAACCGTTTGATTTTTAAAAAGTATTATTTCATGAATTTTCCGACGCCTACTGAGTGCACATTTTAAAAATATTTTTGTAATGTACAGGGTGTCCCAAGAGCTCTAAAGGTTGCGTTTTTTTAAATGGAATGTCCTGTATATTATTGCATTTTTGGATTTGCTGAACAAAATAAGTGTCTGTTTTAATAAGGTTTATAATACCTAAAACTTAAGGTTTTTTAAATAATACGAATTTAGTCAAAATCTAATCTAATTTTCACGTGTCAAATACTTTAGAAGCATTTAAGTTATGTAAGCGTAATTTATAGTGAAGTGTAACAAGATATAATATTTTATATCCCAATGATAATAAACTTACCATGTTATACAGGATGTCCGCAAATTTAAACTAATCAAATAAGAACTTTAAGTGGCTCTAACTTGATTAATTTAAATACAACCCCATATTTTTTAACTTACCGGGAAATGAAATTTTTAATTACCTATCGAA